GCAAACAAACAAACAAACAAAAAAGAACCTGCCTATAAAAAGCTACCATGGTAATAAGGAAGAATAAGATATAAACTGAGAAGAAGTTAATGAAGTCAAAATAGCTATAAGCAAAGCTTCAAAGAGAAGATGTGAATTGGACACAAGCCCAACAAGAAGTCCTGGAAGAGCTACAAATGATCTTCAAAATTAAATGAGAGTGGTAAAGAAAAAATTAGGTAAAGAAATTAAAGGAAGATAATTATGAAAAGATATTTAACAGCTTTGTAAAAGAGGCACAAAAAATGCTGAAGAAAATAACACCTTAAAAATGGGATTGGACAAATGGAAAAAGTGGTACAAAAAAATCACTGCTAAAAATAATTCCTTAAAAATTAGAATTGGGCAGGTGAGAGCTAATGATTCCATATAACGAAAGCAGTAGTTAGAGGAAATTTATAAATACCAATATTGAAATCCTGAAAATCAAAGGAGAGATTAATAAAAGTGAAAGTTAAAAAAAAAACACTGAACATTGAACAAACTTTTTTTCATTAAATAAAACTAGGATCTGCTTTTATGAAAAAAATGAAATAGATAAACCACTGGTTAATTTGATTTAAAAAAAAAGAAGAGAAAATCAAATTTCTAATATTAAAAATGAAAAGTATGAATACAGCACCAATGATTATGAATTAAAGCAATTATTAGGAGTTATTTGCCCTATTACATGCCATAAATCTAGCAATTTAAGTGAAATGGATTGATATTTATTAAAAAAAATATAGCTTCCCAGATTAATAGAAAAGCAAATATAATACTCAAATAACCCTATTTTAGAAAAATAAATTGAATATGCCATCCTGGTCCCCAGGACCAGAAGGACTCACAAGTGAATTTTCCCAAACATTTGAGGAACAATTATTCCCAATATTATATAAGCTATTTTAAAAAAAAAATAGATAAGGAGCAGCTAGGTGGCACAGTGGATAGAGCACCAGCCCTGGATTCAGGAGGACCTGAGTTCAAAGCAGGCCTCAGACACGTAACACTTACTAGCTGTGTGACTCTGGGCAAGTCACTTAACCCCACTGCCTAGCCAAAAAAAAAAAAAAAGAAGAAGAAAGGAAAGAAAGAAAGAAAGAAAGAAAGAAAGAAAGAAAGAAAGAAAGAAAGAAAGAAAGAAAGAAAGAAAGAAAGAAAGAAAGAAAGAAAGAAAGAAAGAAAGAAAGAAAGAGAAAAGAAAAAAATAGATAAAAAAGTCCTACCAAATTCCTTTTATGACATAAACATGATTTTGATACCTAAACCAGAGTGAGCAAAAACAGAGAAAGAAAACTATTGACCAATTTTCTTTAATGAATATTGATGCAAAATTTTTAAATAAAATATTAGCAAATAGATTACAGCAATATATCACAAAACCATAAACTGTGACCAGGTGAGATTTATACCATGAATAGAAGGCTGTTTCAGTATCAGGAAAACTATCAGCATGACTGTCCATATTAATAACAGAACCAACAAAGAACAGATAAGCATTTCAATAACTGCAGAAAAGTCTTTAGCAAATGACAGCCCCATTTCTATTCAGAAACACTAGAAAATATAAGGATCAATGGGGCCTTTCTTTAAATGATAAGTAGCATCTATCTAAAACTAAGAGCAAGCGCTATCTGCAACAGGGATAAACTTAAAACCTTCCCACTAAAATCAGGGGTGAAGCACGGTGTCCATTATCACCGCTATTATTCAATTTGTTGTTCAGTTATTTTCAGTCATGTCCAACTTTTTGTGACCCCTTTTGGGTTTTTTTTAGCAAAGATACTGGAGAGGTATGCCACTTCGTTCTCCACTCATTTTATGCTTGAGGAACTAAGGCAAAAAAGTTAAGTGACTTGTCTAGGGTCATACAGCTGGTAAGTGTCTGAGGCTAGACTGGAACTCAGTAAAATGAGTGTTCCTCACTTCAGGCCTGGCACTCTATCCACTGTGCAACCTAGTTGCCCCTATTATTCAATATTGTACTAGAAATGTTAGCTATAGCAACAAGACAAGAAAAACAAGAAATAAAAAGAGTTGATGAGAAAACAAAAATTTCATTCTTTGTAGATATTATAGTATACTTATAGAACTTTAAAGAATCAATTAAAAAACTGGTTGAAACAGTTATCAACCAGGGGCAGCTAGGTGGCGCAGCAGATAGAGCACCGGCCCTGAAGTCAGAAGGACCTGAGTTCAACTCCGGCCTCAGACACATAGCACTTACTAGCTGTGTGACCCTGGGCAAGTCACTTAACCCCATTGCCTAGCTAAAAACAAAAAAGAAAAAAAGAAAGAAACAATTATCAACCACAGCATAGTTGCAGAATACAAAATAAACTCACATAGATCATCGGCATTTCTATAGACTACCAAAAAAAAAAATAAGCAGGAAAAGATAGAAAGAGAAATTCCATTTAAAATAACTGTAGACAATATAAAATACTTGGGAGTCTATCTACCATGACAAACCTAGGGATTACATGAACATAGTTACAAAACACTTTTCACATAAAGAAGATCTAAACAATTGGAGAAATATTAACTGCTCTAGGACAAGCCAATATAATAAAAATGGCATTTCTATCTCAGTTACTTTACTTATTTAATGTCACACCAATCACGTTACCAAAATTATATTATAAAGCTAGGGGGAAAAAATCACAAAATTCATCTGAAACAACAGAAGGTCTAGAATACCAAGGGAATCACTGAAAAATAAATAAGGAAGGCATTTTCGTAGCTCCAGATTTCAAACTATATTACAAAGTGGTGATCATGAAAACAATCTGTTTGTTGTTGTTGTTGTTGTTGCTCATTTCTTTCAGTTGTGTCCTATTCTTCATGACCCCCTTTGGGGTTTTCTTCAAAGATATTGCAGTGATATCTCAAAGACATCAAAAAAAGGGAATAGGACCTATTTGTACAAAAAATATTTACAGCAGCTCTTTTTGTGGTGGCTAAGAATTGGGAATCAAGAGGATGCCCATCAACTGGAGAATGGCTAAACAAGCTGTGGTATAGGATTATAATGGATTATTGTGCTGTAAGAAATGACAGGCAGGGTAATTTCAGAAAAACCTGGAAAGACCTACCTGAACTGATACAAAATGAAATGAGCAGAACCAGAAGAACATCGTACATAGTAACAACAATACTGTATGATGAAGAAATATTACTGACTTAGCTATTCTCATCAATACAGTGATCCAAGATAAACGTAAAGGACTCATGACGAAAAATGCTCCAGAGAAAGAACTTATATTCTCTTAATATAAACTGAAACAAATTTTCTTCCTTTTTTTCAGTTGAGTTTTCTTACATAAAATAACTAACATGGAAATGGTTTACATGATTGCACATGTATAATATATATATATATATATATATATATATATATATATATAAAGATTACTTATCTCAGGAAGAGGGGAGGGATGAGGAGGAACGAAATTTGCAAGTCAACATGTTTAAAAAATTATTATTGTGGGCAAGTTGGTGGCACAGTAGATCGAGCGCTGGCCCTAGAGTCAGGAGGACCTGAGATCAAATCCAGCCTCAGACACATAACACTTACTAGCTGTTTGACTCTGGGCAAGTCACTTAACCTTAATTGCCTCACTCAAAAGAAATAAAATAAAATGATTATTAATTTTTTTACATATTATTGTGAAATATGCAATGAAATAAAAAAAATTTAAATTAAAATAACTTAAATGCATAACTATTTTTTTCACCATGTTGGTTTCAGTCTATCCATTCAAAAACCATCACCCTAGCTTTGCAGACTGCACATGCTGAGTGTGACTGCAACTACCTTACACTTTGCGACACTGCTGTCATCAAATAAAAATTTGAGGCTGGCATTTTCAATACTTAAGGGATTTATTTCTCAAAACTTGCTCCCAAGGCAAAGTATCACCCAGACACCTTAATAAGTTGATCCAAACAACTAGGTTTGTGTTTTATCAGAGCTTTGGATCACAACCATGAATTTGCCTTTTTTAAAAATAACAAAAATTAAATTCTTAATCTAACTAGCTAAATTTGACAATATTATTGAATCTACTCATTTGAAAAAAGACCCTATATTTAAATAGATACATATGGGAGGATAGTAGTCATGGCAATAGAGGAACTAAGAAATCATGGAATTCAAAGCCAATAAGGATTGACATTAAGCAGACTTAGCTCAGTATTGAGCTTATTGGGGAGGAGGAACAGTGACTTAGAAATACATAAATGACAGCAAACAAAGATCAAGAAGAGTTATAGTAAATTTCAAGCAGGAGAAGTAGTCGCTGAGATAATGAGAGAATATGAATATAGCCATGGTGAGTGATGAGTATGGCATCTCTTCCTTTTAGCCTGGTGTGATGGAGAATCTGATGGAAGCTTCCAGGCTTAAAGAGAGTACCCACAGAAAACTAGGCTTCAGTGAGCATCAGAAGTCAAAGGAATAGAGAAAAAGATACTGAGGATGAAAAACAGGTAGCAACAGAGGAAAGTTTCAGAAAGAAGGGAAATGGAGGGCAGAGGATGACAGGATAAAAAGAAGACTAAGGCTGAGCTGGATAGGTAGGGGGGAAGAAAGGGTTCCTTCTTCCCTCCCACTCTTGTCACCTCAAGTACTAGGATTCTTACTCTCTTGCACTTTCCTGGGGCTTTCATCCCTCCAAATACCTATCCAGATGCAGGCCAGGGTATTGCCTACACCATTGGATATGGAGATAACAGAAAATGCTGTCATCTTAGACAAAATCATGACTGTTCCACTTAGTTACACTTCTTTCAGTACAACAGTTGTGACTTCTGAAGCTTTGGCCAACCTTCACATATCGAAAAGAAAGCCAGGCATTTCAGGTACTCTTCTATCCCTTCATTATTTGAGAATTTGCCATCAATCTACTTTTGCTCATATCTAGGAATAGAGAGAAATATATTAAAATGTTCCTTCGAGAAATTAAAAATATTCCTACCATGAAACCAAGGGGCAATGGATTTGGTGTTCCTCTCAAAGCCAGCCTGGCGGGGCAATTGTTCTTCCTTAAACCAGCGAATGATGACATCTCTAGAGACTGGACGAAGGGGCCGTTCCCAGGCCCTGAAAAAAAAAAAGAGAGAGATAGACACCAATATGCAGCATAGGTCATTCACTGAGAATAAACAAACCTCACTGAACTCCAATATGGAGTCATAGAACAAAGTAAAAGCAGACATTTTTCCAAACACCAAAAAAAAATCCCCAAAATACTTTCATTGTGATTGGAATATATTAAGGATTAACATTACAAATGATTCACCTCTCTCCTTGCTATTATTGCTATTTACCCTAATTCTCCAATTTTACACTGACTGCAATGGAGGAAGGCAAGGTAGAATTAAAAACATATTGAGTCAATTAATGTAATGTAATGTAATTAACGTACTGTTAAAAAAAAATTTACATGATGAATGAAGAGAAGCATGAGAAAACATATGTGAACCAATGGAAAGTGAATAAGCAGAACCGGGAAGCCATATAAACAATGATGATAACGATATAGATGAAAAACTACAACAACCAGAGATGAGAAGATGCACCTCTCTGTCTTCACTGGAAAAGTGGGAGACTATGGGAATGGAATAGTGCAAATATTGACATGTTGGGGTTTTTATTCTTTTCTCTTTTATTTTATTTTGTTACAAGGGGTGGTTTTCTAAGTGAGGGAGGGAAGGAGTATATATGGAAATGAAGATGATAGAAAAAACAAAACATACCCAAAAAATTGATAAGTGAATGAGTAAATGAACAAAGAAATAAACAAACATCAAGCTTAATTCTTAGAAGGGCAAATCACAGTAAAGATTCAAGGAATGAATAAGATATTCTTATGAACTATTGCTGAACAAGGTAAACAAAACTTGTAGAATACTGAACATTATGTCATTGAAAATAATGGTAAAAGGTAATTGAACTCAGGTTAGATGCAATGTGGGAGGGATAAGTCTTGGTGTAGAATGAAGCATATGTTGTCATTAGATGTAGTTGCTATGCCAGCTTTACTGAAATAATTTTTTGTTTGTTGCAAGAAAGGATTCTTCAGGCAGCTAGGTGGCGCAGTGTATAGAGCACCAGCTCTGGAGTTAGGAAGACCTGAGTTCAAATCTGGCCTCAGACACTTGACACTAGCCGTGTGATCTTGGGCAAGTCACTTAACCCCATTGTCTACCCAAAAAAAAGAAAAAAAGAGAAAAGAAAGGATTCTCTTGGCGGGCAGGTAAAGTATATTATGAAATAACTATGATGTAAAAAACAAAAGGTATCAATAAAACTTTATTAAAAAAAGAATAAAGGATTGATTTATAAAAAAAAAAAACCTTTATTGCACACCATCCCACCCTGTCTCATCTCCCTGCTTTTCCCTACCAAGAAAAACATAGCCATTACCAATTACGCTTCACATAACAAAATTAGAGTTGGAAATGGGAGGCAGGAAAGGAAATCAAGAGATTCTCCCCCATCCAACAATGGCTGTGGTGTACTTAGGACAGCATATTGCCTTGAGAAAGGATCTCCCAAAGAAAAAAAAAAAAGAGATAAGGAAAACTTAATGTACTTGAGTGAAGACATATTTGAGTAATATTGAAAATGTTGAGGGGGAAGGGCTAAGGACCAACCAGCATCTAGTACCACGTCATAATATCACATTCTTCTCCAAGTCTCTATTCAGCCCCAGGGAGGAGGAGGAAATCACCAGTGCTCTACTAAATATGGCGCTCTGCAGCCAGCGACCCAATTTAGTGAGAGTTGAAACTTTGCTATCCAGCCTTACAGCTACTTGTCTTCAGGATTTACTGCCTTCATTAGTGTTTCTATTCCTCTGTCTCCATGAAGGCCAAATGATTTAAGTATCTCACAAAAATAAAAATAATGAGAAAGACTGCTCTGACAGGTGGCCCGTCAGCAGCCTGGCAAGGTCCAAGAGCCGGCTATCCCTTCAGATGGCTCGCTCTGATTCTTCATCAAGCTAGGAATTTCAGTTCACATTAGCAGTGAGTTTCAGCAGCTCAGTCCAGCCGGTCAAAGAGATTACTCGTCAAAGCCAAATACTTCTGAACAGAGAGAGACACAAGTTCCTCTGAGTTTACTCCCCAGTTACACATCACAGCCACAGTGACTGACACGGGCAAGACGGAGCAACAGGGAATGATAAAGGGACTGTCCAGTCTTCATTGCCAGGACTCTCAATTCTAATTCCATGTAATGGCTGAACTGTCTTGGTCATTGCATTTATATAATTGTCCTAATATCCCAGAGGAGTTTTTGATAACTATACAAAGCTACCCTACAGCTAGGCCTGCATATGTTCTATTAGGACATTTCATGTGTATTTGGAGGACATGTGAAAGATCAGTTTTTATTAAGAACTCAAAAGATACCAGAACCTTTCTGGGAAAAATTCTGACTTGCAACGGATACACGAGAGATTGACACATTTCAAAAAATAGTTTCCACAAGCAATGTGGCACTTATTTCTAGACTATTGGACCATATCTTACATTATTATAAGGCTTACTTTTAACTGTAGCCAGTTTGTCTCTCATATTATTTATTCCCCAGTCCAAAATGTTAATGGAAGGCTGTCTTTGAAAGAGTCTTCAGTTTTTAGCAGACATAGACTGTGAATGGCACATACCAAAACAATACTTTCTTTAAAAGAAGGATACATTTGATCTGTACCTCTGACAAATCTTTTCATCTCCAATATTTCAATTAAAAAGCAAAGATTTTGGAAATCCATAGAAAGTAAAATATGTGAGTGACATTTTAAGAAGTAACAATGAAGGGCAGCTAGGTGGCGCAGTGGATAGAGTACTGGCCCTGGAGTCAAGAGGACCTGAGTTTAAATGCAGCCTCAGATACATAACACTCACTAGCTATGTGACTCTGGGCAAGTCACTTAACCCCAATTGCCTCCCAAAATATATATATACATATACATATTATATATACATATACATATTATATATACATATATATATATATACATATACATATTATATATACATATATATATATATACATATATATATATATACATATACATATTATATATATATGTTTAGGGGCAGCTAGGTGGTGCAGTAGACAGAGGACCGGCTCTGGATTCAGGGGGACCTGAGTTCAAATCCAACCTCAGACACATAACACTTACTAGCTGTGTGACCCTGGGCAAGTCACTTAACCCCATTGACTAATCAAATAAAAAAAAAAGAAGTAACAATGGATTCAATCAGCAACAAATTCACTTCAATTGTCCCTCCATATGGCCATGTTTGCCCCACTAGAATTAAGCACCTTAAGGACAGGAGCTATTTTGTTTTGGCCTTTGTATGCCTGTCACTTAGCACAGTACCTGGCACAAGTAAGGTCTTAAGGAATGCTGGTTTAATTAATTGATCAACTGATACCAACCTAACGGGGACAAGGAGGGACTTTGGCGGAGTGGGGCCAGGATGGTGGTTACTGAGCTTTGCCTCCTGCTCATTGTACAAACCAATTTCTTGGAACATGTTGCTGAGACCAGCAACCATCCCTTTCTGAATTGCTCGGAGTGAGTGTCGACGGTACTCATCCCGAGCTCTCTGAGCTTTCCATCTCCGTTCTTCATCTGCAGCTTTGGAACGGCATACTGAAAAAGAGAAAAGAGGGTAGGGAAAAGAGATGCTCAAAAATTGTGAGTCAATAAACATATATTTATTGAGTGCCTATGCTCAAGAGTTAAGGATGCTGTGGTACTAAAGGGGGATATATATATATAATCATTCCCTTTGCAGAAGATTTCCTTCACAAGCTCATGGTTCTGTAGCATTGTAAAGGAAGTAGATGGTTTCAATTTTTAAGGGATATTTGAGGAAATCTAGAAGTAGCCTCAAAGCTAGTCAATGTTGATTGATTGTTAGGAGAATGGGTTGGGAACTCTGTTTACAATCATGTGAACAGTGAGTCAGTGGCTGTGCTGAAATTGTGTCCTGGGTATACATTCACATGAAATTAGAGAGACTCAGTGTTGTTGAATGTGTGAACAGATCTATGGCATGGAAGATCCAAAACATGGAACATCTATAACACCCATTAAGTCAAGTGCCTCAGATTTGCAAAACAGTCACAGAAAAAAAAAAAGCACACATAAACAGTGAAGCAACCCGGCTGCATGCAGGGAGTCAAGGAGTGGGAAACGTCAACAACCTCTTTCAAAATTCTCCAAACAGACCCTGTGATATGCATAAACCACAGGTGACATCATGGAAATGGAAAGGAGTTATACCAGCAAAAAGGAATTTCCTCCTTTATGTCCAATAAGAATTTAGAATGAATGACCCAAAACACAGACTTAATGCTTAAGAGCTTTTATAGATAGCTGGCTAGGAATATCTGGTCGGGTTCTGCATAACAAAAAGAGCTAAAATAGCCCCTTGGGACTTCAAGCTAAAAACCAAAAGACCTTTACCCTCATGCTAAAGAAGATACAAAATATCCAACCTCTAGTAGGCAGTAATGGGTTATAGCAGTAGCTCTATAGGGATACCCAACATAGTTTGGACAAACCCAGCAGAAAAGCAACAAAAAAACAGTGTGATGAAATCACCATTAGACATCAGAGGTTCTATAGTTTCAGAGGTGTAAATTGCCTTGGCATTGCATGCTCCCTATATATGTATGTGCCCTCTGGGCACATATGTCCCTATATATGTCTCCTCCCCCCACTGGTGATAGGGCAACTTGTTGCAAAGTGTTACCTCATGGATATGTGAAGAATTTTTCTTGTCCCAATTAATGCCTGCTCCAAATACCATGTAATAGGTACTAACCCAATGAAAACAATGTTGAAAATCTATAAAACCAAATTTCACCCAGCACAGTAAGATATATCTTTATGGTGTCAGTAGAGTGAATTTCTGGTTGGCAGAAAACTGGGTTGCTTAGGGCATTGGGTGACATAACAATTATATCAGCCCTAAGACTATATACTAATGTTTTGGTTCTAAATGTTCTCCATTGAATTGAACACATCTGCTTCCCCTACTCCCACCAGAAAGGAAATCTCCTAAGAAGGGGCTTACCTATACCTCCTTCTCCTCCTCCCAACTCTTAAAATATCCCAAGTACATTCTTTACTCTCTCATCCTTTATTCCAGTTTTAACTGAAGAGGAGGCCCTCCTCCTTGTCAAAGCCAAGATCTCTATTTGATTTCTTGACCCCATCCCCTCCCCTCTCTTTCATTAGATTACTCACACAATAGTTCCCCCAAAAATTCTCACTCTACTTCCTATCTGCAGGTACTTTCTTCCTATAAACATGCCAAGGTCTCCTTCAAAAATTTTTTTAAAAAAAACCTTTATCTGACCTTGTTTTATCCCTCAAGCTATTGCCCTATATTTTTTCCTTCCATAGCCAAATTTCTTAAAAATGCTAGTGACATATTTACTTCTGCTTTCTATCCTCTAGTTCATTAGGAAACTTCTTGCCATCTGGTTTCTAACCTCATCATTCAAGGGCTTTAGTCAAAGTGACAAATCATCTCTAATTATCAAATACAATGGCCTTTTCTCAGTACTCATCCTTCTTGACCTCTCTGCAGTATTTTACAGTGCTGACCACCATCACTTGTGGGATATTCTCCACTCTCAGAGTTTTCATGATACTGAATCTCCTGGTTCTCTCTTATTTTCCTGACTATTCTTTGTACTTTCTGGTATTCATCATCCATGCCCTGTCCCTCTAACTGTGGAAATATTCCAAATGTCTGTCCTGAGCCCTCTTTTATGCACACATATTCTTTCTCATTAATCTCATCATCTCCCATAGTTCAATTATCTCTAGGCAGGTGATTCTCAGATATATCTGTTCCTAGCATTTCCTCTAGCTTCACTTGTGCATTATAAATTGTCTATCAGATATTTCTCTGGATGTCCTATAGATTCTTCAAACAAAACAGATTCGAAGAGAACCAATTACCTTTCCCCCAAAACCCACTCTTCTAAACTTCTCAACTGTGTCAAGTGCACAACTGTCCTTGCAACTTCAGTTAATCTCAATTCTCCATCTTCTCTCTCATCTCCATAATAAATGAGCTGTGAAGCTTGGTTGATTCCCCCCTCCACTACATCTTTCCAATCTGTCACCTTCTCTCACCACCACCAACCTTTCCACCATATTGTACAATGGCACTGCATTTGGTCACCCTGCCTCAAGCCTCTACCCTCCCCCGTTCATCTTCTATACCAATGATAAAACAGTTTTCCCAATGCACAGGTCCAACCACATCCCCCACTATACTCAATAAACTCCAATGGCTTCCTATTACCTCTAGCAAAACATACAAACTGTTAGGCATTGAAAGTCCTTCACGATCTGGTCCCGGCTATCCTTGGAAAGTTCATGATATATTACTTCTTCTGTATCACTCAACTTTCTAGCCAACTGGTCTACTTACTGTTCTTCATACCCAAAAACCCATCTCTCATCTCTGTACCTTTACACAGTCTATATACCATTCCTGGAATGAAGTCCTTCCTTAATCTTACTTTGTGTGATTCCCTCCTTCCTTCAGAGCTCATTTAAAATGGTAATTCCCACATAAAGCTTTACTTATCCTTAAACTACTAATGTGTCCCTCAATTTGAAATTGCCTCATAATTACTTTGCACTTAATCTGAATTCACGTAGCTAGATGTTGTTTCCCCCAATAGGGAGTAAACTCCTGGGGGCCGAAACTATTTTTTTTTAAATTTTTGTGTCTTCAGTCCCGAAGAAAGTATTTAGTATTTAGTATGCCTTGTCGATTCAAAGATCAATGTGATAAAGTTCCTGACTCAAATTATGTGAAAGAGTTGCACTAGACAAATCAGTTTGCCCCTTTATGTCATCAACATTTTCTCTTCTTAGAAATATGAAGCAGGGGACTAGAAGGGTCCTCAGAGAACCAGTCCTTTGAAGATGAGAACCCTAATGCCTAAAAGGATTGGTTCAGTGAATCATTCAGGGTCTGGTTGTTATAAAAAGAAGTCAAATAAACTTATCTACCTAGTTTCACTCTGTACAATAAGGGAGAAAACAATACAGTGCAGAAATCTGGGCCGGATTACTACCAGGTTTATTGCTTGCTTTTTTTCTGAATTCTTATGCTTTCCCATCTCAAGTAGCAGAAAGCCCTGCTCTTCAGTCAGCTTCCTAGACATGCCCTCAGTTTAAAATAAAGGACATTTAAAAATCCAGGGATCAGCTGCTAGAGCATTAGCATGGCAAAGATTAAGAGAGGCAATAATCAGAACTAGCTCAGTGTACATAAGGTGCTACGAAGTGACCCTCAGGCACAGACAGTCAGCAAGTATTTATTCAGGACCAGCTGCATAGCTATTGATTAGCAGGGTTAATCATCAGGGCTGACCTGGTTAATTTCACTGAGACAACAATTGTTCATGCCCCACTCTCTGTAGCCCATGGACATTTCTTACGATGAGATTTTTTTTATCACTCCAATGTCAAGTTCAGGCCAGGGCTGAGGAGGGTGCCCTTTATGAATCCAAAGGCAGTGAATCCTTCAGGACAGGGGAAGCCTGTTTTAAAAAAAAAGACTGCATTGTCAGCGGATCACAGAAGGTGGATCTTTATGGAGAGCCTACTTCAGGCATTAGCCCTAGAATTTTTAGGCTCTGGCCTGGACTTGCCCAACAGATGGTAAGCTAGTTGCTGGAAACTGCCCTGAAGCTGTTAAATAGGCTCTACGAATGCCTAGGATGGAAGAAACTCCAGAGATTGCAGGTTGGGCTGAATCATGAGTGCCCCAGAGTCCTCACTGCTCTGGTCATGAAAACACAGCCCTTGGACTAAATCTGGCATACGGCAGACACTCTAGGGAGGTATCATGGTGTAATGGAAAAAGCCTGGTTTTTACATTAGGAGACAAGTTCTAGCCTCCACTCTGCTACTTAATGCGTGACCTTTTAGCAAATTGTTTAATTTCTCTCTGAGCCTCTGTTTTGCAGCTCTAAAATGAGGATGATAATAATACCTGGTTGTCTATTCAGACATTTGTTAAACACCTACTGTGTTCAGATCATGTCAGTGAGAGAGAAAGAATTTACACAAAACACAGTATTTGCTTTCATGAAGCACATACCCTGCTAGGGAGACGTGAAACAAGATCAAATAACGATCATTCACAGTTATACATGATAAATGCATCAGGACAGTGGCCTCTAAAATTGGGGATAGGGGTTGGAGGGACATGGTCTCACCTCAGGGGCCATGGTTGATCCCAAAGGGGGTGTGATCAACCAGGTAGGAAGATAAGGAACATCCCACAAGGGATGTAACAGCTGAGAAATGGCCAATTATTGGGTTTATCTCCAACACAGACCTCTACCTTTATCTACCTTTATCCCTCAACACTCATTCTCTTCTCTCAGCTACGCAAGCTCCCAGGTTAGCCCTGTAAAGTCTGCTGCAGACCCCTTGAAGCAGCTATAACCTAAACTAACCATTACCCAGAGAAGCTGCACAAATGCTATTGGAACCCCATAAATATCATGACATTGGAGGACACTAGGTGGCAGAGTGGACAAAGCACTAGGCCTAGAGTCATGAAGAACTGAGTTCAAATCTGACCTCACACACTTACCATCTGT